CATGAGATTATAACAGGATATAGATATATAACAGGATATACATAATCAGGATATAGATCATAACAACTCAAGTGTGAGACATCCGAGAGCAAAACATCCGACTTCACTTCTTCACTTCATTTCTGCTTTTTATTCATGTTCCCTCTCGACTAATCCCACAGTTACCACACGTATTATATGCATGTGTGCAAAGGTAAACAAATGCTGAAAATAATTAATGAACCAGTTTGAACTTTAATAATTACCAGCAAAATGTTAAAAATGTTATTTTCTTATTTACACCCACATATTCTCCCCTACCTGGAATTACGTGAATCTTGTAGAGAAATTTGAGTTTTTCCGTCAGGTCACCGTGACACAGGACACCTGCAACACAAGCCAAGCATTTTAAATGTGCACAAAAACAATCAACCCGATGCACTTTAGTTAGATTTAGTTTGAATTTAAACGTATTTATATCATATCATACATTTTCATTTTTGTATTTAACAAAGCACCACTAAATATAACCAAAATCATCTCAATAAAATAAATAGTAAGTAAAAATCATCAAATTTATGATCATAATAATTTAAAATGATTTAGCAAGTATCATTAAATATGATAAACATCATAAAAAGAATTAAAACCATAACATTTATGAAAATAATAATAATTTAAAATGATTTAGCAAGCACCACTAAATATGATTAAAATCTCCTAAATAAAACAACAAATTTAAATCATAAAAATCATAACATATATGGTAATCATTTTAAATTATTTAGCAAGATTAGGCGTTATTAAGCATCTCAATAAAAAACTAACAAAAAATACAAAAATAGCATTTATATTAATAATAAGAATGTTTAATTGTTTTATTAAATGATTAATCAATTATTATTCTTTTTTTCTTACACTGAGGTCCACTTATACATTTTTTTTCACATTACATAATATAATTTTCTGACCTAATTTTAATTAAATGTAAGCTTTCATACTACATCAAACTTTTATGAAAAGTATTTAAAGACACCATGAAATAAAAATAGACTATTCTAATATTTTAATGGAATATTGCAGTATTTATTATAAATGATTTATCCATTTTCTTTTCTATTCATGTTTTTTTTTTAATGTGCCTCATTATCTTTCATTAAAATAACTTCCCCTCACTCTCACAGCATCACCTCTCCTCTTTACTGGTGTGATCACATGAGATCCACCAATAGCAAACCACATGTACAAAATCAAGCCCCGCCCTACATTTGTTCTTGTTCGAGAAGCCGTTTCACTCAGATATACGACACACTATGGAAGAAAAGACTATCGCAACTTCCGTTTCATGGTGACTTTAAAGAAAATATGATTCCCCTGATTAGAGACACTCACTCAAGCCGCTGATGAACTCTCTGAAGTTGATGAGCGCGTCTGCGTTGTGGTCTAGCAGACGGAAGAACCGCAGGGCCAGATCGTCGGTGTGTGAGCCGCAGGCCCAGGGGAACAGCAGAGCAAACAGGCCCTTGAACTGCTCCAGGTCGATGCGGTACTGCTCCAGATACGGCAGGCTCGGGTCGTGGCGGCTCATGGGGTTGCTGGTGCTGCCCCAGTAACAGCTGGTCAGATGCTCGGCCTAAAGGTGTTAAACACACACACACAGGTCATGAAACTCTTGTTAGAAAGTCAATGGATATGGAACACATGACTTTAAACATTAACACCTGAATGCACCTGCAATGGTGTTAATGTGCTTCACCATCTGAAGAATACAATTGTCTCCTTAAACTGTATGATTTGAGGCGTAACACACATCAGCTGGATGAGTTACATGCATAGGTTAAATTGGGGCGGAGCGCACCGGAGAGCAGCTCCGCCTCCTCGGGTCCACAACACACCCTGCCGGAGCTCAGCTCCGTGTCCTTCAGCACCAAATATATAAAATTTGTTGAGTGTATATAATGAAAGTTATGAAATAATTGGCTAATATTAACTCGAATTTGGTGCTGCAATGATTCGCCCATCGCAACGATAACTGACCTTCTCGTCTGAGCTGCTTCAGCACTCACCCGCACGTCAATGTCAAAATGTTTGAGTCCAATCAAAGCAAGTGGGATTTATGTTCACAGAAGCGCAAGCCTAACGCGAATCCCAACGCGACGCTTCACGCTTCACAACGGGCATACCGTGCGAGATAAGATGCAAGTAGCTAATCTAAACAGCTGTTTGTCGATAGAAGTTTTAAATGATCGACAGAAATACTCAGTTTGATCAAAGACAGTGGATACTATAAGCTCAATTTAACAACACAAGCACCCTATTAAATATATTGCCATTATTATTGTAATATATTTGTATAACGTTACCTCGAATGTGTTCGACCTTTTCACTGTTTGTATCACTCCGCTTGTTCGTGTTTGCGCAACTTGCATCATTAAGCCAGAAGGCGGCGACAAGTGACTGTCTTTATGAGTGAACAATTGAACCATTGATTAAATGAACAGATTAGCTAGTCCAAAAATATTGATTAATTTAGGAAAGGAAAAGTAGCTGAAACTGATCTTTGATGCTCATACTAATTGCTCATATGCCTCTGGGCACAGAATGATTGCATTGGCGTTTGTTTGAAATGTAACATCTACAAAATAATCCTTGAATCATTTCTTATTTAAGGACATTCCCGTTTCGAATATGTGATTGTGTATTGTCAACAATATGCATAAACATTCTGCATTTCCATTTTATAGTGTGGATCACTCATTGCAACATTTAAACTCATGTTAAAGAATTCTAATTCTCATGTTAAAGAATCTGTTATCTGATCAAATAGGTCTACTTCATGCTGACCACTGACATGCTTTTAAAGCTACTGTTGTCCTTCTTTTTTTTTTTTGGCCTTCAAAACACCTTAAAATGGACATGTTGAGATCAGGAAAACCAACATTTTCTTGGGGGGGGCATGCCCCCAAACCCCCCTAGCAAGATAATTTTTTGGAACTTTTATTTATAAAAATCCCCGTACGGCCCTGCGTGTCGGTGTGATTAAATCAAACAAACAAACTGCCAAAGAAATTGGCCCTGATTCTTTTAAACCAACATTTTTTCTTGTTTTAAAAGATATTTGCCAACCAATATTTTCAAACATGTTCAATTTCATACATTTCACGAGGGTGAAGTCCGTTGCTGTCTGTTAACATTAAAGGTAAAAAAAAAGTGAATTGTAAAGTATTTCTCTTTGTTTAATATGTACTCAACCCTACACATTAATAGTGTAAAAAGTGCCTCTTTGGTGTAAAAACACATTAAGTCATTTTACGGCGCGATTTTGAATGATGACCATTAACCGTAAAGGGCTCCCCCTCCCTATAAAAGCCAATTTAACCACTGGTTACATGCACACTGTAACTAAGATCAACATTTAGGGTTAAGGGTTTATTTAAATCATGTATCAAGCACCACTAAATATGACCAAACAAATCTCAATAAACAATAAATGAAAATAAAATAGCATTTATATTAATAATATTAATGGTCATTTAAAATGATTTAGCAAGCACCATTAAATTTAACCAAATAATCTCAATAAAACAATAAATATATATTAAATATTATAAAATAAAAAGACAAAAAAAATTTGCATACATAAAAGATTTTTTCAATGTTTATATTAAATGAATAAATAATGAATATTGATTTATTAATTATTATTATTATTATTATTATAATAAAGTACATAATACTGATGATGATCATCATAATCATTTAAAATTATTGAGCAAGAACCATTGAATAATAATACAAATATAGCATGTTTAATAAAACATTTCAATTATATACAATTATTAATTAATTAACATTGATTTAATAATAATTATTATAAAGTGAATAATAAATAAAAAAATGTTTTTGTTTTTTTACTCCAGCTAGGTTGCATAATTTGTTGAAAAATGCTGTTTTATGTGACTTTTCATTATTTCCATATGCAAAGCATCCTCTGATTAATAACCACAATTATTACTTTAAATGAACAAGGCATTCGGGGCATAAACGGCTTTGATCCAGATCAGGAAAACGACTCGGTTACTAACGTAACCTCGGTTCCCTGAGAGGAGGGAACGAGTATTGCGTAATAGCTTTACGCTATGGGAAAACTCCTTTTCTCGAGAAATATTGAAGTCTTTATGTAAAACGCATTGCAGCTGCACAGCATACAGCAATGAGCGAGGCAGCTCGGTCATTGGCTGTGCTGCGGCAACTTGCACGAACCAATGACGGGGCGACTCTGAACCCGCTTCCAATGAGCGTGCTTCGCGCCCACGCGCGTCAGAGCCCGCCAAGATGGGCGTGGCCAAGGGCTATATATTGGGCGCCCCGTCGTCTGAGTTCTTTAGGTTCAATCGACTGAAGCAAACTGACCAAGCACAAGCACGGCAGATTACGCAATACTCGTTCCCTCCTCTCAGGGAACCGAGGTTACGTTAGTAACCGAGTCGTTCCCTTTCGAGAGGTTCCTCCTATTGCGTAATAGCTTTACGCTATGGGAACGCCATGTAAAACGCCGTGCGTGCTGACTTCGCTTCTATTAAGCCGGAGGCCGGAGCCTGAGCCTTTGAGCGAAGTAATTATCCAACGAGCCAGCCGAAGGCGGGTTTTATAAAGGACAACGTGGAACGGCCCGATGGGCGTCCAGAGACACACACAAGCACATTTTCATGTACTGTCATGTATGAAAAATCCTCCACATCAGTTTCAAAGATGTGATTCTATGAGGGAGGAGACAATGCTTAGCATGTACACACCCCAGCCTATGATAGCTAGACCGACAGTATGTTAGAATGCAATGAGGGGACCTGTAGGTTATAAAACCTGATAAATGTGGACGGTGAGGCCCAGCCTGCAGCCGCACAAATATCTTGAATGGGTATCCCACTCGACCACGCCCACGAGGAGGCCATGCCTCTCGTAGAGTGAGCTCTGATGCCCAAGGGGCACTGAAGGCCCTTGGCTTCATAAGCCAGCGCTATAGCATCAACTATCCAGCGCGATATTCTTTGCTTTGACACAGCCAGACCTTTAGTGCGGCCGCCAAAGCATACGAACAACTGCTCTGTCTGTCTGAACAGGGCAGAGCGTTCCAAATATACTCTGAGTGCCCTGACCGGGCAGAGTAAATTAGCGTCACTTTCGTCTGCTGGGGACGATAGCGCGGCCAAAGATATCACCTGTGCTCTGAAAGGAGTAGAGAGCACCTTAGGAATATACCCGTGTTTTGGCCTGAGGACAACCCTGCTGTCGTTAGGTCCAAACTCCAGGCAGTTAGCGCTTGATGACAGCGCGTGCAGGTCGCCCACTCTCTTGACCGAGGCGAGAGCCAGCAGGAGAGCAGTTTTGAGCGAGAGCTGTTTAAGGTGCACAGTTCGGAGGGGTTCGAACGGGGCACGCTTAAGTGCGTCCAGGACCGTGGCCAGGTCCCAAATCGGCACCGAGGGGGGGCGTGGGGGATTCATCCTCCTGGCGCCCCTCAGGAAACGAACAACTAGGCAGTTTTTCCCTAGTGTGCGTCCTTCGACCGGTTCATGTGATGCCGCTATGGCAGCCACATATACTTTGAGCGTGGAGGGGGTGCGGCCTGCCTCCAACAGCTCTTGTAAGAAAACGAGCACACTCGGCACTTCGCATGTCTCAGGATTCAGGTTCCTGGATTTACACCAGTCACTGAACACCTTCCATTTCTGGGCATATAAGCGCCTCGTAGAGGGCGCTCGCGCCTCAGTGATGGTTCTCAACACTCCACTGGGGAGGTTCCCGGGAATCCGTTGAGGGGCCACGCATGGAGGGCCCACAGATCGGGGCGGGGATGGAGGATCATCCCGTTGGCCTGCCTGAGGAGATCTAGCCTCAGTGGAATCGGCCATGGGGCAGATTGCGTCATCTGCATCAGTTCTGGAAACCACGTCTGGTTCTTCCAGAGTGGGGCTACCAGGAGCACTGCACATTTTTCCTCCCTGATCCGACTGATGACCTGAGGTAGCATCGCGACCGGAGGGAAGGCATACAGCGGTCGGCTCGGCCAGACTTGGGCGAGCGCGTCTGTGCTCTTTGAAAAGAAGAGAGGGCAGTGCGCATTTTCCTTGGAGGCAAAGAGGTCGACCTCTGCTCTGCCAAAGGTTTGCCATAACCACTGAATCGTCAGGGGGTGGAGAGACCATTCTCCTGGGAGAACTTTGTCTCTGGACAGCATGTCCGCTCCCTGGTTCAGAACACCTGGCACATGCGCCGCTCTCAGCGAGCGCAGGTTGCGCTGGGACCATAGTAGGAGCTCCCTGGCCATCGAGTGCAGGGAGCTCGATCTGAGTCCACCCTGACGATTTATATGCGAGACTACCGTCATGTTGTCCGTTCGGACTAGGACGTGCTCGTCCTTCAGGTACGGGAGCAGGGCTCTGAGAGCCAAAGCGACCGCTTTCAATTCCAGACAGTTTATATGTAGGCGCTTCTCCGGGTTTGACCACAAGCCGGAGACAGGCCTGCCCTCGTAAAGGGCCCCCCAACCTATTTTGGAGGCATCTGTCGTGATCATTTTTCTCCTTGTGTTCACGCCCAAACTCACGCCGGACTGATACCAGTCGACAGCTTTCCAGGGCGTCAGGGCTTTTATGCAGCCGTGATTTGCTCTGATTAAAAAGTGGCCCGAGCGCCATGCGTGAGTGGGGACACGGCTCTTGAGCCAGCGTTGGAGAGGACGCATGTGCAACAATCCTAGCTGGAGTACAGCTGATGCTGAGGCCATGAGACCGAGCATCCTCTGAAATCGCTTGACAGGGGCGCGCGCACCCGCTCTGAACGATGTTGCAAGGCGCCGAATAGTGAGCGCGCGCTCTGATGAGAGGCGTGCTGTCATCTGCACCGAGTCTAGCACTATTCCCAGAAAAGAAATATTCTGGCTGGGGGATAGCATGCTCTTTGCAAAATTGATTTTTAGACCTAGGCACTCTAGATGACTGATAATCCAAGACCTGTGTGTCACTAACTGGCTCTCTGATTGTGCTAGTATTAGCCAATCGTTGAGATAATTTAGTATTCGCACTCCCCGCTGTCTCAGGGGGGAAAGTGCTGCATCCATACATTTCGTAAATGTACGGGGTGCCAGTGACAGGCCGAATGGTAGTACTGTGTACTGGTATGACTGTCCCTCGAAAGCGAATCTCAGAAATGGCCTGTGATGAGGCGCTATTGGAATGTGAAAGTAAGCGTCTTTCAGATCCACTGACAGAAACCAATCCCCCGGGCGAACTTGCGCGAGGATATGCTTGGTTGTTAACATTCTGAACGAGCGAATCATTAAAGCTTTGTATAGATGTCTGAGATCTAGGATGGGGCGGAGACCGCCATCCTTTTTCGGGACGAGAAAATAGCGGCTGTAAAAACCTGCCTCGCTCATAGAGGGGGGCACTGTTTCTATAGCGCCTTTCTCTATCAGTTTGAGCATCTCGGTGCGTAGAACATGTGAAACATCTTTTCTCACTTTCGTCTCTACCACTGCTGTGAAGCGGGGCGGTCTGCGAGCGAATTGGAGCGAGTAACCGTGTTTTATTATGTTCAAAACCCATTTCGGCATGTCGGGGATATTTTCCCAAGCTTTCGGTCGCACAGATATGGGCTGAATGCTGGCCGGGGGCGTGTCGCAGTGACGTATGGCCCCCGCCAGCGAATCGTTCTGTGTAAATACCGAGTTCACAGCTGTCAGCGGCGCGGGCGCGCGCTGAGCAGCTTTGTTGAATGACGAGTGCAGGGGTGCGTGTGAGATTACAGGCACGCTCGCTGTAATGCTCACAGAGTGAGATGGGGAAATGTTTAACACTGTGTGTATAGTGCTTATGGGTGGGGGTGCATAGACTGTGGTAGGCACGCGCGCCACTTTCATAAAACTTCCCGCTCGTGGCGGGAGGTTTTTGGCCATATAAACAGTGTTTGTGAGCTGGGGTGTGTGCATAACAGCGGGCACACGCGCTACTCTTATACAACTTACCGCTTTTACTGGGGAAGTGTTTATAACTGTGGGAACAGTGCTTGTGTGTAGTGGTGCATACGTAACAGTTGGCACACAATCTACATTTATGGGGCGTCCAGCCTGAGCTGGGAAAACATTTGGCACTGAGTTTACAGTTTTGATATGTGGGAATGCGCACTTTGGTGTGGACACGTGACCCTTTAATGACACAGGCAGAAAATAGCTCTTTATGTGATTTCTGTGTGTCGCCGTAAAAACGGCGTTTGTTTGCAGGTGGGCGAGCTGTGTGGCTGGCACATTGGCTGCTGTATAGACATTTCCAGCCGCCTGTAAGGGGACTGGGTAATGCTTTAAACGTTTTGGAGAGAACGGTCCGGCTCTTGCGAGACACGCGCTCTCCCTTTTCCTCCCTGTAGCTAGGAGGACTTACAAGGCTCTGGGTTCAGCACAATCCTGGGCCGAGGTCCCCGTCGCTCGGGCGGCTGTTTCCTGTTGGCGGAGCGCGAGCGGCGTCGAAAATCCGTTTCAGGTTTGGGCTGAGAAACGGGGGGCGCCGTCTTAGCTCGCTGCTGCTGAGGCGGCCGTTGGCGGCTCTGCGATGAGCTAGATCGCTTGGGCAGGAAGTGACGCATAGCCTGTGAGTCCTTACGGGCTTCGGTGAAGCGCTCGGCGAACTCCTTCACCGCTGGTCCAAACAGGCCGCTTTGGGAGATAGGCGCGTCGAGAAATGACGCCTTATCTGCATCCTTCATTTCTGTTAGCGTCAGCCACAGATGGCGCTCAAGGACAGTCAGGTTAGCCATAGCACGGCCGATTGACTGGGCGGTGGCTTTTGTAGCTCGCAGCGCTATGTCAGTGGCGCTGCGTAGGTCCTTAAATGCCTCAGGATCGGGTCCAGACTCGTCCATACTGCGGAGAAGTTTGGCTTGAAATACATGGAGGACAGCCATAGAGTGAAGCGCTGATGCAGCTTGGCCGGCGGCGGCGTATGCGCGACCGGCGAGAGCTGAAGTAGATCGGCAAGGCTTCGAGGGATGAGAAGCTTTAGCTTTCCATCCAGCGTTGGAGGGTGGACACAGATGATTGGCCACAGCTTCCTCGAGGGGCGGAGTCCCCTCATAGCCTCTTTCTTTTGCGCCGTCCACAGAGGAGAGCGACAAAGAAAAAGAAGGTTTCAGGCGAGCGGAGTGCGGGGCTTTCCACGACTTCGTGAGTTCGTCGTGAACTTCCGGGAAGAAGGGGGAGGGTCTTTGTCGAGGGGCCTGTCGGCGCCCCTGCAGGAACCACTCGTCCAGTCGGCTGCGGGCGGGTTCTTCCGGGGAAGACCAATCGAGCCCGAGGTCTTCCACGGCCTTAGAGAGAATGCGGACGATCTCAGAGTCCATGCTGGAGCCCGCGCTCGTGCCCGCTAATGTCGATGGCGCGGGGTCGAAGGACGAGCCCGGCCAATCGTCGGATGCAGCATCACAGGAAAAACTGTCATCCTTATCATCGTCATCCCCTGACGCGCCAAACGAGACGAGCCCCATCGCTCCGCTGGAGGGGTGCTGGTCCGCCTGTGTGAACTGGACTGGCGGCGGGGAGTCTTCGGGTGGTGGTGAAGCACGCGGGGATTGGCCCGGCGTGACATCACTGCAAACCGCGTGCTCCGGCGGCCTCTGTGAGCGGCGTTTTTTCTTTCGCGGCTCGACTAGAGGAGATGGCAGCACGGAAGAGGTGGGCTCTTTCGCGGTGAAAACGGCGAAGCGAGCGCGCAGCTCGGTGAGGCCCAGGGCGTCACACTCGGGACATCCGCCTCGAGTAAGGGCAGCCTCTGCGTGGTCCGGTCCCAAGCAGCGGGCGCAGATGATGTGACGATCCCCGTCCTGAAGAGGGCCTCGACACGAGGCGCAGGAAGGCATTTGAAACAACGCCTTGAGAAATTTGACTCTTTTAGAAAAAGTGTCGCGGGGGCGAACACTGATAGCTTTGAAAAAGGATATAGATGGTGCGCGCCGGATGGCTTAGCAGAAGGGCGATCGAAGGCGGCTGAAGGCGCCGGCGTCCTCGAAGCAGTCCTGCTGTAGGCTTGTCGACGGCGGCGGCGAAAAGACTCCAACAAATCCGGAGGATCCAGCGAAGAGAAGGTTCTTTGCTGAAGGAGATTAAATCTAAAGAACTCAGACGACGGGGCGCCCAATATATAGCCCTTGGCCACGCCCATCTCGGCGGGCTCTGACGCGCGTGGGCGCGAAGCACGCTCATTGGAAGCGGGTTCAGAGTCGCCCCGTCATTGGTTCGTGCAAGTTGCCGCAGCACAGCCAATGACCGAGCTGCCTCGCTCATTGCTGTATGCTGTGCAGCTGCAATGCGTTTTACATAAAGACTTCAATATTTCTCGAGAAAAGGAGTTTTCCCATAGCGTAAGCTTACGCAATAGGAGGAACCTCTCGAAAGGGAACTACAGTAAATGACAGAAACCATCTTTGGAAAAAAGATATTTGAAGTGTAATTTAATTGTTTACTTGGTTAAATAACATGGGGAGGCGGGGTTTATGACCTATACTAGGACCGGCCACCGGGGGGGCGATCGAGACGTTTTGGCTTCACTTTTTCAGTGCTTGTGCGGCACGCTTGGTTTGTCTCCACCTCTATGTAATCCCTCCCCCTTGAAAGGTATAAACTCTACTGTGCTGAGGTATTGAAAGATATTGAAAGATATTAAAAGATATCCTAACGTCTCCTGGTCTCTGCTTCGACGACGAAGAAAAAGTTACAACACTACGGATGTGAAAAACGCAGAAAATTTTACTTTCAATTTAAAGTTTCGGAGGCAGTGTGTATAACGTGAGGTCGTATTTATTTTTTTAACGTGAGAAAACTGACTGATTTGACTGCACTGACACTATCGGATGAGAACTGAACTGAGTTTTCTACAGAACCACTTATGGTTGAACTAATTTAATAACTGATGACCTTTACAACGAATCAACACTGAACTGACCAGCTGAGCAATGACACTTTTCTTATTGAGCTGCTGTACAGCTTAAATTAACTGTTTGCATCACTGAATCATTCTCCTATTATCACTGTGAAGCTGCTTTGAAACAATCTGTATTGTATAAAGCGCTATATAAATAAAGGTGACTTGACACACTCATGTTGCTGGAGTCGGCTCATGACCTCGTCATGTGACTGACCTTAAAGAGTGTGTAGAGCTCCTCCAACTCATCAATGCTGAAGGGCGTCTCCGTCACGATGGTCCGCACCTGCAAAACCAGCGGATTAGGCAAACATGAACGTGTGTGTAGTGCTTCATTAAAACTAAAAGTCACAGATCCACTGATTGAGTCAGAATGGAGAGTGTCAGATTACCACATTGCGTTTGGTGGTGTCTTCAATGGCCTGGATCACTCTCAGTCTCTGTTTGAAACGCATCTGCTCGATCACATCCGCCCGAATGGAGCCGAACTTCTGCCGATGACACAGAAAGAACACATGAACACACTTTTAAGCCGGTGAGCCCTGTAATATATACATCACCATGCTATTAGTAAACATTCAAGGAGAAACTTCAGATGGACGAACCTCATACGAGCAGCGCACAAGTTTGAAGATGTCCACCTCAGGATGAGGCTCGCCGTTATCCGTCAGGAGCGAGTGAAGATGAGGGATCGGAGGAAGGGTGCTGTCCTTATTAGTCACGCTGTCCAGATACCTACAACACACACACACTCGTTTGTGTCAGTATACTATAACTTGTAGTATACTGTACACTCACTTTGCAGCATTTAATCACTTTGCACCACTACATACACTCATTATGCAGCATACTACATACAATACTCAGCATGCAGCACATAATCACTTTGTATGAACATAATACAATACATTTGTTTATAGACTCACTACATAGTACACTACATACACCAAATGTGCAGTACAGTGTATAATCGGTGTAATATGCAGCATACTGTATAATCATTTGCAGCACAACATACTTAGTTTACAGGCAATATGTACGCACTAGGCACTACTATGTAGTACAATACTAACTATGTACTCTGTAATTCGCAGCATACAGTATAACGACTTTGCATAAACACAAGCATAAACAAACTTTGCTTACAGTCTATATATACTAACTACATAGTATCCCGCATACACTTAATCTGCAGTATACTGTATACTCTAGTATGCAGCATATGATCACTTTGCAGCACACAACAAACACAAACTGTGCTTATAAACTACATTTTCACACACATTACATAGAACATACACTATACTGCAAATTTCTTGTACTATGCAAATTGCGTACTATGTAGTATGCAGCATAATATTTTTGCAGTATACAAGGCAAGCAAACTTTGCTTATAGACTATTTATACTCATTATGTACTACGCTACATACACTAGATTTGAAAAATAGTGTATATGCAGCATATAATAATATTGCAGTATACAAAAACTTTGCTTATAGACTATATTTTTACTCACTACATTGCACGCTACTGTTGTATAGTCACATAAATCAAGAGATCACATTCAGGTCTCATTAGTAGCATTGCATGTACCATAAAAACAACTTTCTCTTCCCCTCTTGCATGCATACCAGTTCCCCACATAATACATCAACTCCCTCTAGTGGGCATTTGCCAATCAACATTATTAAGTGAACACAACAGCTACATACACTAAATTTGCAGTATAGTGTATACTCCATGTAGTACGCAGCATATAATCACTTTGCAGTACAGTACATATGCCGAACACTACATATACTAACTAGGTTAGCACACTAAACGTATAGCCTGATCCTACCAGACTCTCGTACACATTTGATTTGTACAGAGTCTGGCCAAAGTCCTTTTAGGCAAGTCATACCACTCGGCCTCCATCTTGGCAACGCCTCCGGGCAGCTATTTCGGACTAACAAGACCAGGCCCCTATCTAAATGAATGGGCAGAGAGTCAGAACTGCACTTTCACTGGTCACCAGGACATAAAAACTGCTTGTATAGAAACAGCAGTAAAATATGATAAAAATCGCTGAAAAAGTTTGATGACTTTGCCTCAAAATAAGGTTTAAAAGGCCTTTTCCTCCACAGGTAGTGTTGTTTTTGGCGGCCTGTTTTAATTTTAGTTTTAGTCTAGTCTTTGTGTTAAGCTGTCATTTTAGTTTTTATTAGTTTTAGTCAGGTTCATTCTCTTTTTAGTCTAGTCTAGTTTTAGTCGACGAAAACGGATGACATTTTAGTCTAGTTTTAGTCGACGAAAGACATAGTCTAGATTTAGTCAATGAAAATTGTATTTAAGTCTCTTTTTAGTAATGCAATTCTATTTCACCCAGTCAATATAGTACAAGTACCTATACTAGTAGTATAGACGAAATTAAAGTTTTTCCAAATGTAATTTCTTCTTTTTCTCCCGTGTCAGACTTAACTTTGTTTGTTGTCGGCAATGCGCTCCAGGAGCGGTGCGTGCATAACAGCAGAGCAGAGATCTACACAGTACCTCAACAACGCGACATAATTGATGTAGGCTAAAAATATTGATTTTGAAAATTGAATATTGATTGAAAGTAAAAAAATAGAGAATAAATGTTGTGATTGTGGTACAGCCGTAGATCAGTTGCGCACTGCAAACGCAGCACAAGTGAAAGCACAATAGCGCGTGCTGCTCCTGCATACACACCGCAACACGCACCGCATTCGCACTACACACGGAGTATGTGTGAAACAGCCGTAACTCTTCTAAATAATGCCGCGAGTGGGGCTTGAGGATGTGAACGCGCCTGCGTCTGCGCAGTGCGATCTGATGCAGCGCCTAAAGTGACACAGGAAACAGAAATGCTGCATAATAATAATAATGCAAGTAATGGCATGTGCATACAACCGCCATCTTTGGCGTTTTCCCTATATAGTTGTATTGAGGATTGAGGAAGTGGCATGTCTCTATATAAATTGTCTCTGGTCTGGCCACGCTCCATTGACAAGCGTTAACTTCCTTGAAGGCGGGGACTCTGTTGAAGTTTAAAACTATTGGATCTGCCATAAGCAATCACTAACGTTTGGTCATGACGTATGTCTACAACTCAAACTAGCGCACGTCATCGTTCTCAGCCACTCCCTCTGTTCGCTGATTGGACTGGTAAAAAATTTATCGGAGAAAACCCAAGAATATACAGCAAACCCAGACGTAGTACTGAAGGAAAATGAAAATTGGGCGGATTGGTACGTAGGAGGGCGGAGCCAGGCTACTAAACGTACTCGTCATGCTGTATACTACACATACTCAGTAGTATGCGGTTGTTGTCCTACCTGCCCAGGATGGTCATGGCTTCCCCGTCATCTTTACAGTCCAGCAGCTGGTGGATGTTGGCGTCGAGCACGGACAGAGCCAGCTGGAAGATGACCTTGATGCCCTCGTAGAAGAAGCAGTCGACCACCACCACGGCGCTCTCGAAGGGCATGACGGACAGGAAGAGTGTGAGGAACCAGGAGAGAGAGATGGTGGAGATGACGCCCAGCGCCTGCATGCAGTCGTACAGCTGAGGAACGTAGACGTGAGCCAGCTCCTCGAACACACCCTGGTCCACCAAAGCACCTGAGATACACACACACACACACACACACTCAGTGCTGTCAGATCTTCTTGTATCCGAGCCGTTTGGTGGCTGATAGGCCTGCACAATTAATCGTAATTGCGATTAGGCTGTGATTGTTTTCTATGCGCAGCTGGTCATTGATGTACGGCTCAGTAAACGCTGCTCCGTCTGAAAGCACTGTGAGTTTGAGTCCCTTATAACGTGCATTTGAAAAAGCAAACATCTTTCCAAACATGAGAAGCATTTATGAACCTCTTGTCCAACATAAGACAACATTTAATAACATGCTTTTACTCCAAACTCCCTTCATAACGACAGCTGAGCTCATCCTTCTGTGAGATGATGCGGCTTCTTACACAGAATAAGGCAGTCGTGTGTTTATTAGTCAACAAAGCGTTTCATGAAATCTTCTGTTTATTCAGCTACAGCGATAAGGATTTCCTGGAATGATGTGTGTTATCGTACTTCTGAGGCGGGGTACATTTGGCATGTGTGTGTGAGCGCCCTCTGGTGTTCAGATGGAGCAGCATTTACTACCGATCAGCCGTTCTGCACTGACGAGCAGCGCATAAAATAATCACAGTTTTATTTTGCGGTTTCATTGCGATTAATCGTGCAGCGCTAGTGGCTGTGAAGCTGGATGATCCTGGAGCTCACCTACGACTCTGGTGTTGTAGTAATCGGGAAGCATCCGCTCACACAAGGCCACCAGGAGCCAGAAGGCCTCTTCTTCTTTAGCGTACAGCAGCAGGACGGAGGTCACGATGTTCATGGCCTGTGGAGGAAGACGAGCTGGCGTTATGACCATGCTGTGCGTGCGTGTGTGTGTTGTGGAAGCTGTGGAGATGTGCATCATACCTGGCAGTAGCCGATGTTAGGGTTGCGAAAGGCGTACGCAGTGAGGACTCGACGCAAGGCTGCGATGCCCATCTCGTTCTGGAAGGCCGGATGCTCCGGGAGAGACCGGTGAAGGTCTCGCTCGATCTCCTCTGTGGCCAGATTATATTTCCCCATCGACTTCTCCACCAGATCCTCGTAATAACCAGGATGAGTGGCCATCTCATTAATCGCCCCTGCACGCAACAATACACACACTCAAAATTACACAAATGATTTAGCTAATAACTTTTTTTTTAATCCAAAACACTCCTGGAACAAAATTATTTTATTAGGTCATGATGAGTCTAATTATACTGGTTATTTTATTTTTTATTTAATTCAACTCTACTTGAATTAAATTAAATTAAATTCAACTCTACTTGAATTTATTTCAATTCAATTCTACTTTAATTTAATTCAACTCTAATTTAATTAAATTAAATTCAAGTCTACATTTGTATGCATGTATTATGCATGCAATAATTTACAGGTACAATAAACAAACTCCAATATTACAATTTGATATTTGACAGATATTCAAAAATCTTTCCTGGTTAGACGTTCTTTTTTTTTTTTTACCATGCATTAAAGACATTGCTGAATCTAACCTTTCTCTAGTGATAAACCATTTTCAAATATTTTATTAATTCTTATTTTAAAATATCATAATATTTTTATTTAAATTTATGTAATAAAAATATATATTATAAATTATATTTTATATGTGATAAAATATATAAATAAACTACATTTTCTGCTATTTTTATTGTTTTACCATGCAAGTCAAAAGTGATTAAAGGTTCTTGATATACTTGATAAACAGTTTGCATGAAATGCATCAATGAATTTAATAGTGGTGATTGTCATACAGGAAGTGATGCTGTATCTTTGCAATGCTCAGATGAACTGACATGAAACTTGCTTCTGCATTTCCACATGAGCCGTTTGGTTAACTACAGTTCAAAATGTATACATTACACCAACGTTTGTTATAACTATAGTGCATTAGGCTAAAATTACGATTATCAATTGTATCCACCATTTTGAACAGCTTTTTTTTAATGTTACCAACAAAATGTGTCAATCATCACCAAAACTATTACTGAAACAACGCCCTAAAAATACCATGCACATTTGGTTTCAACTTATAAATGGATTGAAGCTTCAATGTAGTCTTGTTCAAAAGTTAAATTTAACAGTAGCTGAGCTACTTGATTTCAAAAACGTGTTGTTTCCCCCTGCGATTACACAAAGCTGTGGAGAAACACAAGGCAGCGAGATTGTTTGCTTGTGCGGTCGTGTGTTTCAGTTTGTGCACTGGCCTATAAAACTCGACTCTTCAGAATAAGGTACTCAAATCTACAAACAGGAAGCAGGGCAACATACAAACAGGTACATGCACTGCACCACGAGATAACCACAACAAAACAGGTGTGTGTGTGTGTGTGTGTGTGTGTGTGAGTGCACGTAAAAGAGTTAACATGTTCCAGGTTGTTATTGAATACTAAAATGAATGCAAATGTCTAGTGCAGTGGCTGGTTTTGCTTCACGACCCAGATTTCAAAAGAGACATGAAGGGGTGTCCTGATTATTCTTTATTGCATAATACAAAAATGTTTGTTAAAACGTTACATTGCTATATAAATACATTTGACTTTGACTTTGAACTGTTCAAAATACACATTGTTTTAAAGCAATGTTTAATGTTTTTAATATCTGTATGCCTTATGGTTGCATTTAGCAGAATAGAGCTGTGTGATAATATAGTTTACATTTTCCGATACGTAATCATGCAGTAGGGATTTGCTATTTAGTATATACTCGATGTATGTCGATAAAGTTGCACATGCTTATGTGTCAAACTTTATAAAAAGCTGCCCAATAATATAGTTACAGCTGAGATTTGCTATACAGTAAAAAAAAAAAAAAAAAAAAAAAAAAAATCGAACTTAAATTTCATCATTAATTGATTTTGATTATTTCAAAATTAAAGGGGTCATGAACTGGCTTTTTAAGTTTTTTTATATTGTTTTCTGAGGTCAACTTATGACGTTCGCTTGGTTTTTACATTCAAAAACATCAAAATGAATAAGTAATAGGCTATTTTCTACCCTAGCTTTGAGGCTAGCTCAAAAACGCTCGGTTTTTATGGGCGTCTCGCATTGAAGACTTGGAAGTAAACGCCTACCGCTGTGAGTGGATAACAGTTTTGCATATTATAATGAGTTTCGTGTAATGCGCGAATCGGTGGGCGGAGCTAAACCGGCCGTGTTGAAGTAGGCGTAGATCTTCTTCTGCGGGGGTGGTGTTTTATCCTCTTTGTCGTCATAGTTCCCCACTTTGAAAAACGAGTCGTTTGCTGAGCCTGGTGTCAATTAAAGCTTTTATTGGACTAACAAGGACGTTTTCAGTTCTGAAACTTACAGGATATTCTTATAATATGATGACCTCTTAGATGTCAAAAGCTCAAGGAAAATTTGATTTCTCAGTTCATCACCCCTTTAAAAACTATTTCTGTTGCGCAACTTGTCCATGCCGGCATCAATCTAATTAGACTATCTTCCACCAAATGACATCAATTAGTAGAAATTGTTTTGACAGACTCTTTGATGTCAACAACAAATGAAATGAGCAGACCGAATTATGAATATTGTTTGCTCTTTGACGAATTGCTTTTGTTTGTCTTTTGTAAAGTCGCTGTGGATAAAAGCGTCTGCTAAAGGCATATATGTAAATGTAAAATGTATTTATTTTGGTGCCCTAACTGTGCTTGATATTCTGGGGTGCGTTTCCCAAAAGCATCGTTAGCCAACTATGGTCGCAAATTCCATTGAACTCTATTGGTAACGACAGAACTTGCGACCATAGTTGGCTTTGGGAAACGCACCCCTGGTTAGTTGTATTTATCGCTTCTATTCAGCTCTGTTTTTCTCCCTGTTGTCCGTGTGGGACTCACCAGAAAACAGGAGCCACAGCTCTCCTCTCATGTTCTCCGGGATGCCCTGCAGCACTAGGTCTTTGGTCTTCTCCGTGCGGTACATACACACTCCCTGGCCGTATTCGGTGAAGTGATTCTTCCAGGCCTGCTCCTTCAGAAACTCTTTAGCCTGAAAACAAGCGATTAAATAGAGAGCATCTCATCAATGCTGCACAGACTTCAACTTCAGAAGTGCTGATGACGGAGACTCTGACTCGAACGAAGAAGCGAAGCCAGTGAGCCGTGAACAGCATCAGCTTTCAATTCGAAATTTTGAAATGTGGTGCATTTAATGTATATGAAAGCTTTAGATTAGACAATCTTGTGAGCAGAATCACTTAAATACTCCACTGAATGCAAAACATTAATTTTTGCTCTAGCGCACTGATATTGTGACTAAACGAAGACAGCATAACTAGTTTGAAAACAAAATGACTTGAATCAGCAGGTTTTTTCAGGTCATTTGTTGCAGGTCACCAAACAAAACAAACTCGGTCTTCTCAAGAATGTGTTTCCTACTAACGCATCTCCTCTAACCACAACAAACACAATAACATGTATCTTACTTCAGGCTTTGAATTCTGAGTGGATGCGGTGCATTCGAATGCCGGTAAACGCACACCTGTAACCGCACTAAAGCGCCAAACACCCCGTAATTAAGCTAAAGAACTACGTAACTTAAATAAGAATAGTTTACTCAGGTTTCTACTTATAAGTTTACATAATCCAACTATTTACTTAACATTGGTGTATTTTTAGCATATTCCTGTTGTTCTACGCAGTGATTTAAGGGTATTTTAGGGGCAAAAGCAGCTCTTGAACATGGTAAAAATCACTGTAATGCAAAAAAACGTACCAAGCAATGTTCTATCACTATTCCTGATTTTGTTCGGCTTGGTCTTACGGGCGTCTATCAGAGTAGAAACTAAAGCTGCTGCTCTCGTATGTTTTCCTTCGCCTTCGGTCGTGTTCTTATGTAAATTGCACGAGCTTATTTTGTTCATTAGATCGAAAGATCTGAAAACACACATTTACCCGCCCACAGACCCTCCCCTCGAAGAAATCAGGACAGAAGTGGTTGAAAGTGGACAAAAGAGACGGATTAAAACACCAGGAGTGAACGGGAATGTGTCTCTCTCGTCTACTGGTGATCCGATCGACCAGAACGCCTCTAAATACCACGAGTAAACAGGTATTAAACACAACGGCTGTTTTTTTTCCATGAGGGGGTTTGGCATCACAGTGGCTTTGTTTCCAGCGGACCATTAAAGAACGTGACACACATGTTTCCAGGAAGTCCTGTAGAATTCAACCAATCAGATTATGACTTTAACTGAAACTGAACGCTTGCCCCTGCTTAACCCTCTATAGATCCGAGCTTCTTCATTAGTCCTATCAGTAAAAAGTGACTAAATTAAGGAGATAAAAAAAGCATTACTGAGGGTGTTGTACCAGTTTGGGGTTGAACTCCTCCGGGGAGCGCCGGCGGTACATGGTCATCAGGGCTTGTGTGGCGGTGGGAACCCTGCTATCATTGAGATTGAACTGCCTGTCACTCTCTCCCTCAGAGCCGAGAGTGCTGCACTGAGGACTACATGACAGGACACTGCCCTGCTGCGAGTACACCTGCACACAGAGGATGGCGTTAGACAGGGCATCTCTAGATATATATATATATATATATATATATATATATATATATATATGTATATATGTGTGACCCGTGCTGGCAAAAGGAGTCGGAACTGATTTCGAGCTACAGGCAAAACAAGTGAAAATTTTTAATTAATCGATTTTGACGCTCTCACAAAAAAAGCCATTCTCTATTGATCCCAATGCTCCAAATATCTATTAAACATCTAAAAGTATCTTTATTTGTGTGTTTTCTGAGAGGAGTACCTTTCCTTTGTCCATGAAAAATCCAGTTTTTCTCTGCTCACTTCTCACGCTTCCCCTTAACACAGGTTTGGTATCGTGTAAAGTGCAGTATTACACCTTTGTGAATATTCCTGACGATTTCTCGATGGCATGAATCTGAACCAATGAAATGTGATTTTCAAACTCATGCTGATGTAAACAAAACTGATCTTACTCGCTCTGACTGACAGATCCATGCGCATAAAGTCTCTCAGACAGCGCGCGATCCCGATATACACACACACACACACACACACACACATAATAAGAGTATTTCAAAATATCTGTCTTTGCGAGTATTCACGCAAACATTATCTGTCATGTCCCAAATGTGATACAATAATGTAGCCCGACTACGCCACCCAATTGAAGAGCTGGGACTCTATTAAAACAAATAACTTTAGCTTGCAAGTTCTTTTAGTTTGGTGGGAGCAACTTAAATAAACATTTGGTTGGGGAAAATCATATTGAGGTGATGTGTAACATTATATTACATCCGTGCAGTACAGTAGGTCTGAATATAGGCTAAACTAAATAAACTAAATAAAATAAAGATCCTATAGATATTTGGTTTTGACTTGGTGAGTGCCAAATTTGGTTGCTAGGTTATTTAGTTTTGTAACCTTCAGAAAACTTGAACTAGATTTTAGTTGAACTAATTAAGTTGATTAAGTTGATTAAGTTGAACTAGACTTAATCGACTTCAAACAGGTGTAACTCAGTCATTTTTTTTGTCTGATTCCAACAAATCAAACATCATTTTGAAGTTTTTTTTTTTTAAATAGAGAATGTGAAAACAAAAATAAGTCATTTTGGAAAATGTGCTCATTGCGACTCATTTTGCCAGCAGGGATTACATATACACACACTAACCAACAGTGTTGTTCCCACCTCGTCGTCTGAGCTGCTGAGGCTGCCTGTGATTTCCCGCTCAAAGTAGATTTTGGAGGAGGTCTGCTGAAGGAAGTCCGAGATCCTCTGCACCAGGAAGTCCCGGTCTTTGAGGTTGGCAAAGAGAAAGGTCATTTTGTTTTTGGTGCTGATTGACAATGGGCTGGGAAGGACGTTGGAGCTATCGGCTTTCTCAACGATGGTCACCTAGTGACGAGAGAGAGAGAGATACAGGATCATGCAACTCACAACCCATTTTATTTTCACATATTTCTGAGAGAAACACTGAAAACGGTATACTTTTGGAACTGACTGGATTGTGAAAGATGGAGGATAACGTGGGATAAATGCTTATAAACACTCAGGCCTGGTTTCACAGACAGGGTTTAGATTAAGCCAGGATAAGGCCTTATTTAATTAGGTTTTATAAACGTCCCATAGCAAAAAAACATTACTGCATCTAAACAATGGCACTTGCATATTTTAAGATATATCAGTGCAAGTTGCTTTCAGCTCAAACATCCATTTTAGTCTGGGACTAGACTTAAAGGATTAGTTCACTTTTTAAAAAACTTTTGCTGATAATTTACTCACCCCCATGTCATCCAAGATGTCCATGTCTTTCTTTCTTCAGTCGAAAAGAAATGAATGTTTTTGATGAAAACATTCCAGGATTTTTCTCCATATAATGCACTTTGCTGGGCACCAAACGGTTCAAGGTCTAAATGACCGTTTCAGTGCAGCTTCAAAGGGCTTTAAACGACACCAGACGATGAATAAGGGTCTTATCAAGCGAAACGATCGGTCATTTCAAAAATAAATAAAAAAGTTAAAGTTTTATAGGCACAAATGCTCGCATTGCGAACTCTCCTGTTCGAACTCGTTCATCAAAATGAACGAATCTTTTTTCGAGTCAATGACTCGAAAAAAGATTCGTTCATTTTGATGAACGAGTCAATGACTCGAAAAAAGATTCGTTCATTTTGATGAACGAGTTCGAACAGGAGAGTTCGCAAGGCGAGCATTTGTGCCTTTAAAACTTTAACTTTTTTATTTATTTTTGAAATGACAGATCGTTTCTCTAGATAAGACCCTTATTCATCGTCTGGTATCGTTTAAAGCCCTTTGAAGCTGCACTGAAACGGTCATTTAGACCTTGAACCGTTTGGCTACCATTGAAGTCCATTATATGGAGAAAAATCCTGGAATGTTTTCATCAAAAACCTTAATTTCTTTTCGACTGAAGAAAGAAAGACATGGACATCTTGGATGACATGGGGGTGAGTAAATTATCAGCAAAAGTTTTTTAAAAAGTGAACTACTCCTTTAAGCTTTGTCTGTGAAACTGGGGGTCAATTATGTAAAGTTTTGATTAAGAAAAAAAACTAAACTAAAACTTTTTATTAGAGTATCATGTCATTAGCTTAGCAATGCAGTGACGGACCTCTCTGAGTGGGATAATCAGGCTGCAGGCGGTCTCCTCTTTACTGGTGAAGCAGATGTAGTTAGTGGAGACAAACATCTGTCCGAGGATGTGCATCTTGTTGAAGGGGGTCCATAGCGTGCAGTCTGTGTGGCCGTCCAATTTCTCGTCCTTCGGCAAGCGGAAAAGCGCCCGGTATCGCTCGCTTTTAGCCCTGGCGTCCAAATCTCTAAAGGCACAGAAACAAATATAATACTGAAAAAAGGCTGCTATAAAGTTTCCTAAAGTTCTTCTAAATGCATATTGCTAACAAAATTGGTGGAGCGGAGCCGCTCCGCACGTCAAAGCGCTCTCGGATAATCCTCTTAGTTTGCACAGACGGCTTTCAAAGAGCCCTGAAGGAGAACCAGATTTGCTACTTCCAATTTCACACAGTTGCCAGACGGCCATTTACTCCAAAATTTAATCCTTCACTATTTTGCATTTTCACTGCCATCTTTAAGGCAATTGCAATATTGTTCATAATATTAACTTAAAAAGTTCCATAAGCAGTTGTGACAAAACAAAAATGTTACAGTATACCACTGCAAGAATTTATTTAAATCACAATATACATTTTATTGAATCATTTTGCTACACGGTAAAAGCATATATTCACTATAATTATTTTTTGCTTGTCTAGCTTTTAATGCACATGCACTTTGAACTTTTGCACAATGCAGAAATAATTTTTTTTTGCAATTATTTTTTGCAAGAAATTTCACCACCGTTTTTTTTATATATTACATAATCAAGTAGTATTGTATATGTTTTTAGTGTATATCTAGTGAAATTTATAATTTTACTAAATTACTACATATTAAAAGTACTTCAGATACTCGTTTAATAATTTTCTCTCTTTTAAATAAAGAAAATCTATTTTTAAACTTTATAGACAAAATATTGGAAGAATAATCACAACAGATTAACATTTAAAATGAGTTATCTTTATAATCTTGTGAAATAAATACTTTTAATATGTAGTAATTTAGTTAAAGTACTTCATCAGGTACTCATTTAATAGTTTTTTCTCTTTCAAATAAAAAAAAGCATATTTTTAAACTTTATAGACAATTTCGGAAGAACAATCACAACAAATTTAAAAATAGTTATCCTTATAATCAAGTGAAATGTATAATTTGACTAAATTACTACATATTAAAAGTACTTCATCAGGGACTCAATTCATCGTTTTTCTCTTTTAAATAAAAAAAGCCTATTTTTAAACTTTATAGTCAAAATTTCAGAAGACTAATAACAAATTAAGATTTAAAATTAGTCATTTTTATAATGTAGTGAAATGAATACTTTCAATAAATTACTACATATACATATTAAAAGTTCTTCAATGGTTACACATTTTATCGTTTTTCTCTTTTAAATAAAAAATGTCTTATTTTTAAACTTCATAGTCAAATTTTCTGAAGAATAAACCACAAATTTAACAGCAGTGCAAAAACAGCGTATTAAAAAAAATGAATCAGTTCAGTTGATATCACTATTTCTCCATAAAAAGTATAAATGTCACCCAGTTTCTCTCAGTTTTATCTCTTCACTGGCTTCATGAGCGATACTGGCACAGACCTTTTGAGTGCCGAGACTTTCTTGGGCGACTTCTTCTTGAGTTTGGGCAGAGAGCGGTCCTGCTCGAAGCCCTTGTTGTCCAGGAGCTGTCTCATGGCTATGTTGGCGAGCTGCTCCATGAGTTTGAAGGTCTCGTTGATGTTCAGGAAGACGGAGAAGACGTGCTCGCTGAGGCGTGTGCTGACGCGCACCATGTCCGGCAGCAGGAGCGTGGCGTTCTTCTCCAGCTGAGTGATGTCAGCCCAGCGGATCACCAGCTTAGCTAAAACGAACCGTTACAAACACACAGATTCATATGGAAGAAGAAGAGCAAACGTTTAGATTCGTTGAGACGGAGCATATTAGCAGAAAATATAGTGGCTTTGAAAGTAAAAACCACACTGTTAGTCTATCCCTCGGAGAGTTAAAGGCGATGTCTAATGCCATTTAATGCATTCTGACTTAATTACTGATTGTCGGTTTTTAATAAAACTTTAACCAAGACTAATGCATAATTTTCCTGATTTTAACATTGGGATGTCTAATGCTAATTCATGTATTCTGACTTATTTACACTGTTAAAGAGTTGGATTCTCATACTAAACATGGCCAAAGTTTTAAAAAATTAGTTGGACGTATGACGTAGTATTTCTGTGCCAAATACACTCCTTCAGGATTCGTATAAGTTTCGGAAAGTTTTTTTTCCCCGAGTATGGCCCTGTATGACGTCATAAAGGGTGTAATTCCTTGTATGGGCAATTCTCCTGGAGGAGCGTGCGCACACACACACACACACACACACACACACATCAACCAGAGCGAGCGCACGAGCTTCGTTCAGGTTACGGAAGGCGATATTTTTTTCCCCAGGATGGTAGGGGAAGGTACCGCCTTTTCGCCTCTGATTGGCTAAAAGGGCTCTCCTCCGATTGGTTATTTGATTTGGCCGTGAAACGTCATCTCTTCAGATGAGAAGTTACACATATACACACACACTAACCTGACCCCTAAACCTACCCATCACACACACACCAACTCAAATCAAATAACCAATCGGAGGAGAGGCCTTCTAGCCAATCAGAGGCGAAAAAGGCGGTACCTTCCCCTACCATCCTGTGAAAAAAAAATCGCTTACGGAAGCCGTCGGCAGCGCTGTCATTTTGTTTTTAGACCATGAAATCAAAAACGTCACCAAAGAAGTGTGTTTTTGCTTGTGAAGGAAAGATAACCTTGTTCAGCTTCTTCAAGAACCCAGCGTTAAGGGAACAGTGGATGCAGTTTGTTTTTCCGGGGCAGCAACAGAGTTGTGCAAGTGTGTTTGTTTGTTCCCGGCATTTCGTTGACAAATGTTTTATAAACCAGGCTCAGTTCGGCGCTGGATTTGCAGATCGTTTGAATCTGCTGAGATGGAGCGTTTCCAGCGTAAAATATCCCGGTCATGAGTCGGAACCGCATGCAGGAAGTAGCCTAACATCAAATGTCTGTCTTTTGTTGGAAATGTAAGTGCATGTAAACAACACAAACGTATAGTGAATAAAAAGTTATCCAGGGATAATGTGATGATCTATTGTGTGTGACTCTTTAGCTCCGCCCACGACACACGCCTCCAGGAGCTCGGCTGTTTTCGGAAAGAATCGGTACAGCGTATTGGTCTTTTATTAATCTAATAAAACTAAAGACTCTTCGGAGATATGAAGGATGCAATACTACTCTATCGGTACTGAAGATGAGTGTTGGGGTAACTCATTACAAGTAACTTGAGTTACGTAATCAGATTACTTTATCAAGTAACTAGTTAAGTAACGCATTACTTTTAAAATTTACAACAAAATATCCCAATCACTTTTTCATATAAGTAACGCAAGTTACTTTGTTTTCCCATGTATTGACTGACAGCTCTCCTGCCTCCATGTTGAGACAAATCGAAGTGCAGAGGCGTTGTGTAAACATGATGGTTACTGTAGTTCTAGACTAAATGTGAGCGTGCATTTACTCATCTCACTTGCACAAAAAAAAAAGATTAAATATTCCTCCAAATGAATAAAATCATAGAAATGCAGGATCAGAATACTATGCAAACCTCCAATAACTAAATATGTTAAGGCGAGACACGGCAGGCAAAACCTGTTTTTTTTTTTGCACTGGTCAATTTTGAGACTTGTGGTGAAAAAAAGTCCGAAATACACATTTAGGTCTTTATTTTACGACACTTTGTCTGTTTGCGTCTTTTGATTTCTCATAAATTCATCAAAAGTTGGCGTAGTAAATCATCCCGCTGCGCCGCGATCGCTGTCTGCACCCTGTCATCACACACACCGTTAGAAAGCTCTCTCTCTCTCGTATAATGTTGTCGGATCCAAATATGGTCATTTCCTTTTTATCAGCAGCCAATCGTGAAAGTAAAAGGGCGCAAATGCGCAATCTCATTGGCTGATGCTAAATCTTTAAAGCCCGTTTTCTCAAAATGACTTTTCTCTCATTCTCAAAGTCCGAAATCTCCACTATCTATACACCAAACTTTCCAGTCTTGTACCTAGTTATATTATGAAGGCATTTACAGAGGGATTTGTAAATATATTATTCCTAGCCTGATTTATATAACATTTTATTCCAAAAAACATGGCAAAAATCATTTTTTAAGGCTATTGACAGTATATTCTGATTTACAGGATAACAAAAGTAGATATCCAAAAATCCCTCTGTAATTTTTTCCCCATCTAATATGTGAACACAATGAAAAAATAATTTTGAACCTGGCTTTATCCAATACTCAGATTTCATTTTTTGAAATATATGCAAATTAGCGCATATTTAATTAGATAATGCCTAATTTGCATATTCAAACATTAAATTACAGAAAACTTGTCATACATTTTTTTCTCATCTTAATGTAGGTAATCAACTGGGAAAGTTTCATGGTGATATCTGCTAGTTAAAAAAATTACCCTATTCACCTGTAGTGTCTCGCCTTAAATAGAACATAATTTTTTATGCATTTAATCTCACTTTATTGACCAGTGTTCTTGCTTCTGACCTTCGATGTTTCAGTTAAACCATAAGCAAAAATTACTATAGATCTTTTTTGTTTTTATGTCTAAGTGTAAAACTTTTTTTTCTCCTGCATCCTATTCTTCTGTTATCCAGAACCGCAGCTGAAAGGTTTGCTTGAGCGGCGCCCTCTGCTGTAACTGTACACGCGTGAATTTGCATGTCCTTATTCATTTCACTTTTGCTGTGAAAGGGTCTTTACATTTGCCCAAAAACATAACTTTTTTGCTATAAAAAAACAAGCCCAGCCCAGGTGAAAATAAGTAAAGCAAAAGTAACGTAACGCATTACTTTTCTAAAAAAGTAACTAATGGCGCTTTTCCATTACCAGGACCAGCTCGACTCGACTCGACTCGCTTTTCGCTCCGTTTTCCATTGCAGAAAGTGCCGCCACAAATAGTACCCGGTCGTCATAGCGACGCATTTCGTTCCTCGTTGCCCCATCAAGCTCTCGCTGGATCCTCTCTTCGGCAACCAAACAAAGGAATGTCTGCACCTCCTCGTTTGACCACGGCGTATTCTTCCGAGTTGCCGTAATAATAGTAAGTAAGTTTAGTAACTATCTCTGGCCAAACTATTTAAAAATGGCGGGGTTAGTCTGGATACTCCATCTGGCGCGTGCAATGATGACGCAGATTCTCTGTGACCAATCAGCAGTCTGCATTGTTTTCACGTCACATTTTAGTATCGGCTTAGCTCGCCTCAGCTCGCTTAGAACCTCGCCGGAGGTGGTACGAAAAAAAGTACCCGAAAGCAGGTACAGGTACAACTTCTACACAGTGGAAAACCAAACAAAGGCGAGCCGAGCCGAGCCGAGCCGAGCCGAGCCGAGCCTAGGCGAGCTGGTACTGTGTAGTGGAAAAGCGCCATTTGTAATGCAATTAGTTACTTTTTAAGGGAGTAACCCAATATTGTAATGCATTACTTTCCCCAACACTGCTGAAGATTAACATGAGACTGCAGAAACTGTGTGTGTGATGTGCCCTTTAAATTCAAAATGGCGTCTGGGCTGACTGCGGTCTCCTCATGCCGTACCCTCTTTCCCGAGCAGGTAGGAGTAGAAGCAGAGGTGGTTGATGCTGAGGTACAGCCAGCCCTGTCGCGGCACCTTCCCCTTCCAGTAGCTGCAGGAGTAGTAGTTCACCAGCTTCTCCTCCTCCGGCATGCCGAAGAGCTTACGAAACTTCGCGATGGCCTCCTTGAACTTGTCCGTGTCGTCATCTTCTTTGATGTCGTGGCTCTTGTTGTATTCTGCTATAATGCCCTGGACACAAACACACAGACAGACGCATGTGAACTCGTGTGACGTCATTTCGAACAAAATCAGGCCAAAACGAAGTTTGTTCGGAGTTCATTTTGGGAGTTCGCAACAGAAAAGTTTGCTTTGTTTGCTTTCAGACACCTTTGAACTACCATTGGTCGGTGGTGATTACGTAATAGGTGGGTGTGGCTCTGAGGCTCCGCCTTCTTTGAGAATTGTTTCATTCTGTTCGGTCTGTCGAGGTCAGACGCGAGTAAAAACATGGTGAGCTGCTTTATAGCAGAAACTGAAGTTGTAATCCTAATTGAAAGAGACGCTGGTCGTGTTTATTCATGTTTAATACTGTAAAGCTGCTTGCTTTTAAATAATCTAGTGTATAAAGTGCTATATAAATAAACGTGAAGTGACTGTACTGGAGTGACGAATTGCAGAGCTGGTGCAAACATTTCCACATCGCTATGATCTTTCCTAAAGTCCACTGTGGTGAAAATCAAGTTTTTAATGTTGTTTATATGCCTATGTGGTGTTTTTAATATGAATTTACACATGGTTTGTCTTAAAGCATAAGTCGACAGCATTGCTGAGTATTTTCTCCTTAAAACTGCAGTGAACCAAAGACAGTCTCAAAAACTCGGTTTGAAATCGCTGGTGTTTCTGACGTCACACACTACCTTGTAACCAATCAGATCAACGTGTGATCGTCAACCAGTGGATCTCTGAGCTGGTGTGAGTGAGTGGAGGCGGGGCTCATTTGCATATTTATAGAACCGCGTATACTAAATGAGGCAAGGGTGTCGAGTTACATTCAAGCTATTTTAAGGCATGAAGACATTTTTTCACAGGAAAACACTTTTAAATATGTAATTTTGGTGATCAAAGATGAGTTTTAAAAGGATAAAATGATTGACTACAGGGGGACGACTTACTTTAACTGCTGTTTTCTCACCCCTGTCATTTCTGTTGTGTTTATTTTGTTACTGAGAGGAAAGCGTGCAGCACACATTTACTTGTTCATTCGTTAACAGTATATCACTGCAAAGGTATTTCCAACTTCTTACGCGAATAACGAAAAATAACTTTGCATTCAAGCATGAAAATCTATTCCTGGAGACCCAAAAACAAAAGCAAGACCTTTACAGGTACATATAAACCAGGGTGCTTGAATACAGTTTCAAATGTTTGTCGAACCTGTATTTTGCCCTTGACGAACGTGGTGATGTCATTCTCGTTCTCGAAGATGGAGAGCGTCTGCAGCAGATTCTGCTCCAGCCATTCCCAGTTCTCCGTGATCTCCTTACGAGAGCTCCCTGCGAGAAACAAAAACATTTTGGCACCTCTTAGTTGTCAAATAATACTAATCCACCAGTTTAGGATAACGAAAGTCTTTAAGTCTTTATCCGCAGCTACTTCGTTTGCTTCCAGTACTGAACAGATGGGTCCGGATTCATCATTTAATTAGCACAACTCTCCTCAGGCAATATATCAAACACATCACTGGCAAGCGAGATGATTCATTAAGATTGTTCTGTTACAAGTGCCCTGGAAATAGGTAAAGGTGGAAATACACAATGATTTTAAAAACACACCAACCATGTTGTTTGACATTTAACCAGAACTCAGAAACAAATACAGTTAGAACATAAAAATCAATAAATGCAATATAAATTTGGTCATTTTACATTAATAAGGCATATATATATATAAACACACACACACACACTGTATATGTATATACATATATATATATATAAAAAAATGTAATAGTTTAATATAAAATGTTATATTAAATATTGATATAAAGTTTATTATTACATTTAAAATGGGTTTGATATATATATATATATTGTAATATTAATTTAGTCATTTTAAATTTATGATATATTTATATGTATTAATATTACATATATTCTAAACAACTGAATAAATGTAATAGTAATATTACATTTTAAATATATACTGTATATGTGTGTGTGTGTGTGTGTGTGTGTGTGTGTGTGTAATATTATTATCATTTATTTAGTTTTTTATTATCTCTGACAACTAACACTTAATACATAATGATAAATGTAATATTTAATATTTAATAATATATAATAATTTATTTATATATCCATCTATCTACCCACCTATCTCTCTCTTTATATATAATATTCAAGTTATTTAATTGTTTATTCTCCCAAAAGTCTCAAAATACCAATGTACTGTAAATGCAGCCTTGAATTATTTCTAGAATATGCATCTTATATATATATATAAAAAAGTGAAAATGCAAAGTCATGCTAAAGCCTTTCACAGAACACATGCACCATCTCAGAGCAGGAAAACGTCTCTCTCGCATTAAATAAAGAGATTTAACAAATGGCTTGCAGCAACCAAAGTAACAGCTTGTGAAATATGAACCAGCATTCGCAGTTGCCCCTAACCAGATTAGCTCAGAAAACGTGCACTCTCCGCTCTCCTCTGGGAAGCCAGCGCGCGCTCTTGGCTTCAGACATTATGCTCTCGGCTAGGGTCGGATAATATGATGGTGAATACTGCGTGGCGACGATACAAATGTTATTGAAATATTTTGTATTTCTCTCATAAGAACATGCTCTTCGATGTATGACCAATTTCGTATTTTTGCTCTAGGATAACTTTAGATAGCTTTATTATCCCTCCTCAAATTAAAAACTAATAAACTTCAAGCATTCTTTAATATATTTCTTTGTTTTTAATTTTATTTTTGAATATTATTGTTTTTTTTATATATAAGTAACTGAAAAATTATTGAAGGCTACATGAAAATGTGTTAATGTGCTATTTATTTAAAATGATTAATTTAAATAAGTTTATTTTTATTTATGTTTAAAAGTCAAATAAAAAAATACTGAGATAAATAACATAGTTAATTGCTCAATAACTGTTTTTGTAGTGGTATGGTATTGCTACTGGCTACCAAAATTTGGGTATTTTGACAAATCTCTCTGTTTCTTCAAGTGTAAATAACATAAATCGCTCCTACACAAATATATCAAGAATTGTGAAGCAGAATCTGCCCTGGTTTAATGTAATAATTGAATGCTTATTTGCCTTTTTTAACCAATATTTACTTGACAGAAAAAAAAGTACTGTTTTAATACATTATTTATTTAGAATTAATATTTTAAATAAATGTATTTGTATTTATAAGCAATTTAAAAACATATTACCTTAAATTAAAAATAAGGTTAAATAAAAGAAAATAGAGAAATTAAATAAAAAAAAACTGAAATAGTTAGCTAAAAATAAAAGTGTTGCTATTGCAATAATTGTGCAATAAAATAACTTTTGTAGTGAAATTGGTATTGAGAAATTCAGAAAATTCTGACTGCTGAAACGTTGGTATTGTGACAGAACTAATTCCATGTCTCTTGATATGCAAATAACAAAGCAGACCTGCCAAAAAAAAAAAAAAAAAAAAAGATCTACGAATCTATACTGGTTGACACATTTGTAGCATTGCATGCCGCCCAGGCCTAACGATTGGTTCCTGGCATGGCGCTTAGTTGCAGTGCGTAACATAACCAGAGGCGCTCTCATCGTAAGTGCTCTTAATTGCACATTAACCGCGCGGTCCTGCATCAGCACACACTTTGCATCCCTGCACAAATTCCAATCCCTAACAAACCACGGCTTTGCTGAAGCATTGATTCCTGCGTTGAAGTTTTGAACCTAAACTGAACTTTAAAAAGCAGAGGCAGTAAGTGAACGTCATGAGCACCGTTTGAAAGAAAAGCGGATTGATTTCCACTAGGGCATGAGGTAATGCTCCGGCAGCGAGAGGCCATCAGGGAGCAGGCGGGATGTGAGGGTGTATTCCAGAACGGGAAGCAGTGTGTTACCGTGGGCGATGGTCCAGTAAACCAGGGAATCGGGGGTCTGGTAGAGGATCCTGTACGGGGCCACACGGGCACTGGAGTCCAACACCACGTCAAGGGTGCCAACCAGCAGACCTGAGGGAAAACACACAGCACACGCTCAGCATGACGATGATGCTAGGATATCAGTAGCCTAAAACAGGAAAATTCACTGCAAAATGAGTGGAGGCGGGGCTAATTAGTTACAATCAAGCTATTTTAACCCTCTGGGGTCTGAGGTGTTTTCGGGGTCCTTGAGATGTTTTGGCATGCTCTGACATTTGTGCTTTTTTCAGTTGCTTATAAACATATTAATGGCACAGGTGAAATTACACTCTATATAGCACACACATGGCTACCATAATATGTGAGCAACATTTATGTACATGTTTGTATTTTTGAGAGAATATTGTTTATGCGTGGTTATTGAAAAAACTAAAAAATAAAGTTTATAATATAAGGCCACAAATAACATACTAAATATTTGTCCACAAGACTTTTGACTAGTGGATGTTATCGCCTAGAGTTTTTGCTTCAAATTTATCTGAAAATCATTCTGCCTTATCATTCACATAAAACAATAGATTGTTTTAAATTGTGAAAAACATTTTTTTGTTTGCAAAGGCAATATGCGGATGGGCGGAACGGCCCAACCCCCTCATGAATAATTAGGCAGTTCTCACCTGAGCAGTCTGCATACTAATGAGCCTTTCATTCAGGGGTGTCACACAAGAAAGAATGCAAGGACAATATATATACACTACCGTTCAAAAGTTTGGGGTCAGTGAGAATTTTATTTTTATTTTTTGGAGGAAAGAAAACAATACTTTTATTTATCAAGGAATAATTAATTTGATCGAAAGTGACAGTAAAGACATTTATAATGTTACAAAAGTCTTTTGAACTTCCTATTCATCAAAGAATCCTAAAACAAACAAAAAAACTGTACAACTGACAGACCAACAACTGTTTCAACATTGATAATAATAATAAATGTTTTTTGAGCATCAAATCCTCATATTATACTGATTTGTGAAGGATCATTTGACACTGAAGACACTGACACTGGTGATGCTGAAAATTCAGCTTTGATCACAGGAATAAATTACACTTTACTATATATTCACACAGAAAACAGCTGATTTACACTGGAGATAATATTTAATACTATAACTGATTTTTGTTGTATTTTTAATCAAATAAGCGCAGCCATGGTTAGCAGAAGAGAATTCTTTTTAAAGTATTTAAAATCGTACCGACCCAAACTTTTGAACGGTAGTGTATATAAATAAATAAATGTTTATACACACACACACACACACACACACACACACACACACACATATATATATATATATATATATATATATATACAAACAATCAAAATATAAATGAAAGCCAAAAGCACATTTTTAGTCACACCTTTTAGCCATCCACATACCATTTTTAGCCATCCACCGCGGTAAAAATAAACCAGTCGCATTGCAAAGTCGTTCGCGAAATGACCGCCAGGTGGCGCAAAGGGACATTTAGCAAAACGTAAGTGGGGCTAATGTCTATTAACAGTAGCCTAAGGATGAAATACTACAAGTTATGGTAATTTCCAAATAAGCCTACAACAAATTGTTGGTCATACAGATAAGATATAATCTTTTAAAACTTTAAAAGGCTAAAGTAGGCCTACACTCTCACAGGCTAAAGACAAAACGTTTTCTCGCTCATGTCAGAAACAGACGTTTGGGTATTTCTCAGTGAGAAAATTCATAGCTGAGCGGTAGAACTTACGGTTCATCATCAAGATGACACGGGTTCAAATCCCGCACAAACATGGTCTGCTGTAAATTTTATATTTATTATTGCAAAGAGATTTGTCTAGCTCTAAAACTCTGTTACACCATACAGTTTTTTTTTTTTGCTTATATTTATAAAATACAATTATCATGCATTTCCATTTCACACTAAGTAAAAATACAAAAAAAACAAAATAGCTGAAGTGTCAACCCGGTCGGTCAAATTCCTGAAGGATATAGTTTATCTATAGATACCTGTTGAGCCACTCGTGATCGACTAGTTATTATACCGCAAATTAGTTAAAATATCCCGTAATCTATCTAGAGCGAGCGTGCATGCGAGACAGATATTGTGCTCCAAACCGTGCGCGCGCATGGCAGAGAGGTCTGTTCCCTACAACCTAGAGTTTTTAAAAACATGGTTTTAAGTAAAGTGTGATTTGCCAGGGGGGATTGTGATTTCCTTCTGGTCTAAACATCCCTGCTTCTGCTGAATTATTTTAATCCCCACACCCCTCCCTCCACAGCTAATCAATGCTATATGCTACTTCACCAATATCAAATATATAAAATAGAGATATGCAACAGGCACGTTTAAACGACAAACAATAAAATCAAAACCAGCGTTTCAGTTGTTCATTAGTTCCAGTGGCCTTAATGCATGCACGGCTTTTCAAATTTCACAAAGCGTGTTGAGATTATTTTGAATGAAATATTGAAGTTTATAATTAAGTGTTTTGGCACACCACGCCGAGTGGCCCTATGCATTTTTCTAAAGTCGGGTTTTATTCTGGCATGGTGAGTTAGTGTTCGACAAACACGGCGGCGCGTTCATTTAGATTCATTTATTTTTGTCATTATTACAGCTAAAATAACTTAGTAGGCGACTCCGTAATTTTTTGGTCATACAGATAAGAGTAGAGTAGCATCGTTCAAAACTGTAAACTTGTATTCATATTAGGCTAACGACAAAAACAGTATAGGCTATCTGTCGTCTCTGTCTCCGGGAACTGCGCGTCACAAAAATGAACCGAAAGCCACTTCAGCTCAGTCACGATAAGAAATCGGCTATGTCTAAAGCCTTTAAATGTCTAAATATTTAGGCTAATAAATGTTATCTGATTATAGGCTAATCCATATGAAAACTAGAGGAACAGAGGATCTACTCAAACATGTAAGCGCTTCCCAATGAGAAAATGACAAGGGTGAAAATCTCGCTCTAATTAAATGTAGGCTAAATCGCCCTGAATTAAAATGTAAAAACAGATCAAATAATGTATTTGTCGAAATGTTGCGATATTGTTTCATTTAAGTTCATAATTGTTCTATAAATGTTATTTAATTTAGCAGCATTACCACGAAGCACCGTGTTTCGATATTTATTTGAATAATACAAAATCAAATAAAAACTTAATTCACAAATTGCATGCCTGGTTGTAAGGATCCAAAGATCCCTGTAGAATTTAATATTGAGTTGAACATTTTGTTCATGACAACAAATTAACAAGCGTTTTTTCAGATTATATTTAGTTTTGCTTGGAAAAAGCTGCCCCAAACCAGTTTTATTTCATCAATTATTGAAATAATGAAATATTTAGTAATAAACTTTTATGACAGAAATATCACTAGGCTACATGTAATTCCATTTAATTCCTTCATTATCAACACTGTCTAGAATAGCGATTTAAGTGTGAATTGCGACTTCTCTTTGTGTTAAGTCAGCCTCAGACTCCGATAGCCTGTGGGGGGTTGGAGGGACATTGCTGGACAAAGGTGTTAATGTTCCTCTTTCATATGGAGAGTGTCGGATAGCCAGCCTGATGAGCAGGCAAAATTATTGTAAGGATAAATCTGTGTCCAAATGTAGGCCCCATATTTTATATAAATTTATAATAGTAGTTTTAGTATATTATAAATATTGTAGTTTATTTATTGTAGCCTATTTAAAGTTTTTTTTCACACAAAATTTCAATTGAAGTTATTGTACGGTGAATTCAACAAGGTATGCTGTGTCTTTGAAGCAACAATTAAAGGCTAAATAATTTTTTCGTGATTTGTATGGCTGACACGCAGCGACATATACAGTAGTATTATCAGAGCGAGGGAGACTAAATAAACTTGTTAAAAAGAGATCCAGCGCGAGAGAGGCAAAGAGAAACGCATGTTTTTAATTTAAATATGTTTCTTTGGACAATTTTCGTTTTGTACTGTTTTAATTGTTTAATTTAGCTGTAATTTCTTTGGCAATACGAATTTAAAATGTCGCAAGAATAAGATTAGCCTAGTGTTTCTTATTTTGCATCGCAAAAGAAATAAACTCTAAACCGATGCAACCCTGTTTTAAATAAAAAAAAAAAAACTGTCCCGACACTTTATTTAAACCTTGAAATGTTCGAACTTGGTTTCAAACATAAGTAATTTTTGTGTTCTTTTACATTACACAATAATTTAGCAGACTAAAGACGAGCTTCTTCTTTTTCATTTTCTGATGCAATCGGCTGACAATCTTCCTTCATCAGTTTTTGTCATTTGTGCTGCGGCTGCGGTTCTACAGGAATGTAGCAAATTTATGTTGTAATGATAATCAAACAAAACTCTTGACTTTAAATAAGTAAACAGATATAAACAGTTACCTATTTAAGCATCAAGGTGGGAAAATATAAACGTAGGACAACATCGGTTAACAACATGTATGCTACATTGAGATTCGATCTCGGCTCGAATGAAGCTCCTCGAAGCTCGTGTCGTTGCGTTGATCACTGAGCTGTCTTCTGTATGCTGTTAAAGTTGTAAAGCCTCATTCATGTAGCCTAAATGTTTTTATTGCAATGTTTTATGTTGAAATGTTTTCATTATTTATTCAATTACATTTCAGTAGCCTAATTTCAGTATTGTGATTATGAATTATTTTAACTACATTTCACTTGTTGAATTCTTCTGCTACCAGCTTTCAATCGCTCTGAATCAGCACGGTGCGGCAGCAGATTACGCATTAGAGAGAATAAACCGGAATAAACAAACACTTTTCAGAGTCTATGATTGTAGCGCCTCTTAGCGGTAAAAGGCAGGAAATACACCACACATTTTACCGCCGCGTGGAACGGCTGATGTGGGCATTGTCATGGCTTGCCTCGACATTTGCGTTTGAATAGCGCGCGTCCTCCGTGGGCGTGTCAGATTAACGCGTAATGAAGTGTAATGAGCTGGGGAAAAAAATACTGACAGCACTCTCTTTTCATACAGATTGCATAAACTGAGAATATTTGTTTTTTATATAAATTACTTCATTTAAAAGAAGATAATTTA